CTGTGCGCCATCCACGCCAAGCGCGTCACCATCATGCCCAAGGACATTCAGCTGGCCCGCCGCATCCGTGGGGAGCGCGCCTGAGTTCCTTCTCTAGTTCATCCCACCAAAGGCTCTTTTCAGAGCCACCAACGTTCTCAATAAGAGTAGCTGTGTCAGCTTTGCGCTTGACTTCCAGATACGTCCTCAAGTGTGTCAGATCTAACAATATCCTGTAGTTAAACGTAACATTAAACCTTTTCCCAAGTTTGTTCGATTTAGGGGTGGTTTTGAGTTGTTGCTATGTAAAGATAGGGCAATCCGAAAAAGGAATCCGAATTCGGAGAACCATGAACCTATTGAATAAAATCCCAAGCGTGATAACCTAAGAAGTTACCTTGTTTCAACCTGGTATTTAAAGATTAGTGAGTGAAAGGAACATAACGGACAGCTGAGGCAAAACTGCCTCTAGCTAACTGGCTAACATGAAATGGAAGGCTGCGATTGGCTAGGAAGACTTTCCTCTAAACACCACCAAGGTTCGCATCTAGAATCGGTTTGAATAGGCTCCGCCTCCTAGATGCTGACACTGCTGTAAATTAACCAATAAAAACGGACTACTGGGAGAACCTTCATTTGCATACAAGCTCTATAAGTACCGCATAACCAGCGGCGTTGCAACAGTCAGTAGTTGCCTCGTCCATCTTACGTCGCAGCTTTGAACGCGGAGGAAAATGCCGGATCCAGCCAAGTCTGCTCCTGCTCCAAAGAAGGGCTCGAAGAAAGCTGTCACGAAAGTACAGAAGAAAGACGGCAAGAAGCGCAAGCGCAGCCGTAAGGAGAGCTATTCTGTCTATGTTTACAAGGTGCTGAAGCAAGTGCACCCGGACACTGGCATCTCATCTAAGGCCATGGGCATCATGAATTCCTTCGTGAACGACATCTTTGAGCGCATCGCAGGTGAGGCTTCCCGTCTGGCGCATTACAACAAGCGCTCGACCATCACTTCCCGGGAGATCCAGACCGCTGTGCGTCTGCTGCTGCCCGGGGAGTTGGCTAAACACGCCGTGTCTGAAGGCACCAAGGCCGTCACCAAGTACACCAGCTCCAAGTGAAGTGCAGCAGAGGCGTGATTGATCGGCTTTAACCAAAAGGCTCTTTTCAGAGCCACTTTAGTTCTCGGTGAGAGAGCTGTATTCACTAAGGTGTTATGAATAATCAGGTAAGGTCCGTAATATTACCCTGCAGTGCTCAGGTGCAATAACGAGCGTTCCAAAGTGTGGAGCTGGCAGGGCGCGGCGAAGGGCTGTCGCATCATGTACTTGGTAGGGTGAGCAGTCAGTTTGACCGGAAAGCTACCTTCCCACTCGACTGTTAGTCTACCTCAGATTAATTTCAGCATTTCATTTGTGATTTCAAGCAGGGACTAGTTTCTCACTGCCCTGGGCATCCAGGATTATGCTCTGCCTGAATCATGATGGGCCAGCTACAGTCATCAGGCAAAAGTGGCCCAAGTGGTGCCGAGCAGGGTCATCTTCAGAAACTCGCGTTCCACACCTATCTGCTGCGCCATTTCGCAGCTTGACTGCACCCGTGCTTTTAGTCAGCGTCAGTTCTGGTTGCAGTTTTCACAGCACTGGCTCCCTTTTTATTTTTTTATTTTTTTTTAAACTTTGAGCACTAAAAGTCATTTACACAGCGAGAATGAGACTCATCTTGCCCTCACCAAAAACTGAATGCTCTTGAAAGGTTTTCTCTAATTCTCTTTTTGGCCAAAAGAAAATAGTGGAGCCCTTTTTAGGTTGGTTAGAGTTAGATGAGATAGTGATACCAGCTGTAACAAGTAAGCAGTTGCCAGTGCACCGTGAGGTAGGAAGCAATGCCGTCAGCACTGTGCCCTCTTCCCAGCAAGTGTGCTTACAGATTTAGTTCTCTTAGTGTCTTGCGTTTACCTCCTTACTGCATAAGACAGGTTTCCAGTGAGACCTGGACCTGTAGGACGTCATTATGTAGACACTGATCCCATAAGGAGAAAGTGGATTTAAGACTTTGACCTGTGTCCAGCACTCTAGGAGGCAGATCCTTATTGATAGATGCCAAACTTGATAATAGCTTTCCTTCTGGCCCAGCACTCCCAGAAAGCAGGCAAATGGACGTCTGAGTTTGAAGACAAGCCTGATCTAGAGCTAGTTCCAGCATAACCAGGGCTATGGCCTAACCAAGACAACACAAAGAAATCCTGTCTCAAAACAATTCACATCAGTACCCTTAGGGGAAAGGTAGCCCATTAAACACTCCTTTCCAGCTTTTAGTTGACAGCTCTGAATTTTGATGATATAACAAAAGAGAGCCAAGCAAAAAGAAATTACCTATAATTCATCTCTGCTATTTCTGGTACTGTATTCTATCTGGCTTGGCTTGTTTACTTAGTCAGGACTCATGAATAATAAACAGAAAAGGGTGTGGTAAATAATGTGCTAATATATATAAGCCTTGGGGTTAAATCATCCAGAGGCACCTTGTCTTCTGAGTTGTCTACACTATGAATAGCTGAAGGATTTGCTTGTCAGTTCCTTTGTTGGGGACTTGTTTTCTGAGTCATTTTAAATATCTAAACAATGACTCATATTTTCATACTGACTTCCAGGCACTAGGTGATAGAAATTGTTATTCCTGGCTGTCCTGGAACTCACTCTGTAGACCAGGCTGGCCTTGAACTCAGAAAGGCGTGCATCACCACCGCCCGGCTAAATGAATGTTCTTTACCCCTGTACACCCCTTGCCAATTAAAAATAGAACAATGTTGCCAGGCAGTGGTGGCACACGCCTTTAATCCCAGCACTTGGGAGGCAGAGGCAGGCGGATTTCTGAGTTCAAGGCCAGCCCGGCCTACAGAGTGAGTTCCAGGACAGCCAGGGCGACACAGAGAAACCCTGTCTCGAAAATCAAAAAAAAAAAAAAAAAAAAAGAACAATGTTAATACAATTTTAGGGCTGGCAAGATGGAGCTTGGTCCTGGGAACAAACACAAGGGAACACAATAAGTAAGTAAATATGGTTTTTAGGATTAGGAGAGTTCGTCACAGTAAAATTTGAATTCCAATCATTTGCTTACAGGAAAAAGAATAATCACCCATCCCCTTTGTCTAGCCAAGTCTATCTTATTTGTGATGGTTGGGTGTGTGTGTGTAAAGAAAAGAACCATAACTGAGAAGTCTGGCTCCACTCTGAGGAGAAAACCCAGGTTGCATAAATTATAAACAAAAATCAGAACAAATTGTAACAATTCTTCCTAGCAGGAAGAAATGGTATTTGACTGAGTTTGGTAAGCACAGGCCTTTAGTCCAAGCACTCAGAGGACAGAGGTATATAGGTCTCCATGAGTTCAAGGCCAGCCTGGTCTACATTTGGAAGTCTAAGTCAGACAACACTATATAGTGACACCCCTACCCCAAAAACAACCCAGAATTTGTATTTGAGATAAGCATTGAGTCCATAGGATTGAGTACCCCCATACAACTTACAGTTATCAATAAAGCTACATGATAGACAATCTCTGGCACTATAGAAAAATAGTGTAGATATGGAAGGGTAATTCCTAAATGTGTGGGCCAGGGTGCCATACATACGCTCCTGCAACAAACCAGCTGCTGCGTGGCTTTCTCTGAGGTCTGATTGGGTATGTTTCTTAACTGAGAATAATAGTAGTAGTCATACAACCTTCAGGAAGTGAACAAGTTGACAGAAAACACCATTGTTATAAGGATGTGGGAAGCATACCTCACAAGACTAATACCTACACTATATTGTTTTCAAAATTTTATATTTTCAAATTCATATGGAACATTGATCAAAACTGACCACCACTTTCGGGGGACTAAAATCATAAAAGGACCCACTCACTGATTACAAAACAATTAAACACACAATAAATTCTCCACAATCTGCCTTTTTTTTTTTTTTTTAATTACCCAAAACCTGCTCATTCATCCGGAATAACAATGAGATCACTGTGACAGACTTTCCACAGGTAAGCAGGGGATGGTATTTGCTGAGTCTGGGAGGTTCATAGGTTTGGAATGAACTGAAGAAAGGCCATGGTGCATGCCTTTAATCACAGAACTGGAAGGCACAGGCAGACAAAAAGAATGGATGTATGGGAAAGTTAGAATGGGTTAAACTTAACAAAAAAGGAACAATAAAAAGCAAAGGGAAGGAGAAAGGGTAAGTCGGAGAACTGACAGGGGAGCAGACTTCCCTAGTCTACCAAGACTGGACTAACCAATAAAACCGAAGGCTTCCCTGGCATGTCCCCTGTACATTCAACCTTGAAAGAGAGAAGGCGTATAGCTAAGGATGTTAGATGCAGAAGATGCTGGTAAATGGTATGAGCTTGGGACCTGGGTTTTTGTTTTGTTTTGAATTCTGTGCATGAGTGTTTTGTCTGTATCTACAGCATACCTGGTGCCCAGGGAGTTTAGAAGAAGGTGTCAGATCCCCTGGAAGTGGAGTTACAGGTGGTTGTGAACCATCTTGTGATTTCTGGAAACCAAACTCAGGGCCTCTGTAAGAACATCAAGTATTCTCAATCAATGAGCCATTTTCCCAGTTCATTGTTGGTTTGGTTTGGTTTTGACTCTGTGTCTTTCCAGTGGGCAAGATGAGGAAGAGCAAACAATTTTATTGGCTATGAGTTTTGGGCCAAGTGCTCACTAAGTGGTCTATATTATACTCATGTGTCTGATGCTACCCTGGCCAGCCTGAAACTCCATCACTGCCAACCTTAACATACAATGTTCTGAGGGTTAGTTTTTATACGGTTACAGCTATGAGACATGACTTCTGAAGACTCTGCCTGTGCCACTTCACACAAATGGGGGATGTAGGAGTGGTTCTAACACTTCTAGAGGGAATGTTCTAGCACTACTGTAAATGTGAGCAGTAACATAAGTAAGCAGAGATACCTTAGCATGCGTAGGAAAGTAGGGATCATGCCTGTCCTTCCTCCCTTCCTCCCCCCAGAAACACAGATCTATAGGTTTAATGCAGTCCTCCATATTAAATATTCTCATGAAAACCAGCATCGTTTCCAGTATTTTTGAGACTTTTTCCTCCTTCCTCCTTGGCAATTCCTTATCAAATATTTTCCATTTTGTTTATATTTTTGAGGGGTTTTATTACGACATGCTCTCTATTGTATAGTTCTGGCTTTCCTGTACACTAGGTTGGCCTCGAACTCACTGAGATCACTCCCAAGTGCTGGAAATAAAGGTATGTGCTGCCACCCCAGTGGCTTATCAAATTCTTTGCTGTGATTCTCCCCAACCCCTAAAATTTACTGACCAAAAAGCTTAGATTCTTCAACTTTCTATGTGCACTTGTCCATTCAACTGATGGTTGTCACAAATCTGGAGTCCAGTATTCTAGACTCACACTACTGCTTTAACGGTAAGACTTAGGTTTAATATGAGTCTTAAGGGAGCTAGAGGTTCAGTGTGGGGTGTGCCTCCCTAGCCTGCAGGAAGTCCTGGGCTCAATCACCTGCAAACTGTCACGCGGCAGTGCACACCTGTAGTCCCAGCTCTAGCTGTGTAGTCTCTAGAGCTCGTTCCACACCAGCCAGGGATACATGAGACTATGTCCAAAAAGAATCTCAAGTAATTACTAATCCAGAATTCTGCCCACATCCCTGCCCTGTTCTACAAACTTGCTCCTCTGCACGGTAACGGGAAGGTTTAATGTTCTCAGCCAAAACTCTTACACACACACCCCCACCATTAACCTTTCCACATTTCCAGTTAGTGAATTAGAAGGATTTGTTGCTCATCCTCCAAAATATTGTGAATGTGACCGTTTCCCGGAAGTACCACGGACACAAGCTGCCCCTCCTCCCACTCCAGTTCCCTGATTGGTTCCCTGCAGCCTCTGACTTAATCTCTAAATTGTCAGTAAAATCTGTGACACCTGAGAGCCACTACCCACAATATCTCCGTTCTTTTTTCTGACTTGAAATCACTGGGTAGGTAGATCTAGGCTAATCGTAGGCCCCCTCCTAGGGGACAGTCTGTAAGTTCAAAAGATACCAAGTCCTGGCAGGTCCCCAAATGGATTTAGCTACTCCGGTTTTATCCCCAAACCAGGCTAGGTTCTCAAGCCTGGAAAAATGACAACCCCTG